TGCTAGTGCAGCGCGGGCATTGGATGAGGCGCCGTTGGACATTCATAAGGAATCCGGGGCCTAGGAGCTGGAGGAACTCCAAGCGTGGCCTGGCCATGGATATCACCACCGCCCACATCAGGTGAGGAACCCTCCAAGGCCTGAAGCCTCCTGGGCACACTCTTGAACCAACGCCTCGGCCGTGCTGCTCCTCCTCCGCTCTTCCTCCTCCCCGAAGACCACTGGCCTTCCAAGCACACCCAAAGCACGCCGGGCGCCCAAAATCACCAAATTCCCGTAAAATACCTCCCCCTCTCCCTCCCCCTCTCCATCCTCCTCCCCCCTCACCCCCCGGCCCTTCCGGAAACGTCCTCACACGCAAACGTCTTGGCGGTCGCGGCCTCGCGCGCAGCTTCGGGGCGGAACAAGCCATGCGCAGCGGCTGTGCCCCCGCGCGCGCCGGGCCGAGGGAAACAGCGCCACGTGCCATCCGGGCGTGCATGGCGGGGAGAAAAGGAGGGCGAAACGACCACCGGCCAGGGGAGGGACCCGCACGGAAGGCGAAGTGGGCGGCAGTGGCGGCACGACAAGCGACGCGGGAGGACGACCGACCAGCGCGTACTCCGCGAGTGAACGAGTGACATGCGAGGCGGGGATTTACCCATATCCACCGCCTGCGAAACGACGTCCTGGTGCCCCAGCGGGCGGTGGATATGGATATATTTCGGCCCGGGGGCTCGAATCTGTCCATATCCACCGCGTGCCGAGGCTCCGAAAACTGACCCTCCAGGCGGTGAAAATGGACAAATTCCCGTCTCGGATGACAGGCGGAACGAAGGAGGGGACGCAGTAGGAAATTGCAAAATGCCATGGAGGACGCTCGGCGTCTGGACTTGCGGCTCCCGCGAGGTCGCGAGACGCCGCCGCGCCAGAGCCCCCGCCTGGGGCAGCAGAGGACGCCTCTCCGTCCTGGGTGGCGTCACGGAGGACGCCGCTGGGAAGAGAGCGAACGAAGAGGCTGCGTTGCTAGGCGTAGAAGGCGTGGGGGTCGACTGTCCTTGGAGCCTACCCAACACCATCCGCAGAGCTGGCGGCATTCCAGATGACCGACTCGTGCCCATGGGCAGTCACGAAACGGACTACCGGGCAGGCGTCATCGAGCCAGGCGGCCACTCGATTGACCAGCGCGGAATGAGCGGCTGTCGAAGCTGACGAGACTGCCGCCCCAGTCGCAGCACTAGCGACAGCTCTCTGCTTGGGCGGGGGATCGCCAGCAGGGCCAGAGGCACTCTCAGACCGCGGTCGGCGCTCGGAGCCGCAGGGGACGGGATAGCGCCAGCCAATTGGGAGCCAAGGACTCGCCGGCGCGGGGCCGGCTGCGGCTGGGACCGCGGCCGGTGGTCCTGCCGGGGCGGTGGGCCGGCAGGGACGCGCTTGGAGCCCTCTCGTGCGCTCTCCCTGGAGCGAGGAGCGCGTTGCCGTCCCTCAGGCGGGCCACCTCGGGCGGGAGGCAGGGCGGCTGCGTGAGGTGTCGTCCGGGGGTTGGGCCACGCGCGACGGGCGAGCGTGGAAGTCAACGTCGGGGGAGCAGTGCGCGGGCTCGGCGTACGGTCGGGGGGCGGCCTCCCGCAGCGGCGGAGTGCCGATGGCGCTGGGGTGCCGCTGGGAGATGGGGGCGACCTGATCCTGCCATGCCGCCATGCCACTCGGCGCTCTTCGGGAGCGGCCAAGAGGGGGGCGTCCAAGAGGGGGGGTGCAAATCATGACCGGCGGCATGTGCGCGGCCCAGCGGGGGGCCAGGGACGTAATGGAATAAGAAGAGGCGCCATGAAATCTGAGGAAATATCATGGCCCCCGCCATGATACCCACCCACCCCTATAGTCATCACCCCCCTCTTTGCCGCCCCCGAGCTCTGGCGCAGCGGGGGTGCCCGCGGTCACGCCGGGACGCGGCGCCGGGGAGGCAGAGGCCGAGGACGGGGGGGGGGGCGGCACCCCACATGAAAAGACGTGGATAGCTTTTCGGCTGTTCGCTGACGAAGCGTTGGGCGAGGTCTCTTCGCGCCTCGAGAGGTAGCAGGCGCCAGTTCGCGAAGCGCCCAGACTCCCATGCCGCGACCATGCCTGTGTAGACGAGCGCGTTCCACTACTCGCAAAGTGACTACTAGCAAATGGTCTGGATCCGCCATGGGGGATCGACGATACATTACATCGAAGCAGGCATATGCTTTCGGACGTTTGCGAGTAGGCACTTTGCGAGTCGTGGAACGCGCCCGGTGACTGTGCCAGCTTGGGATCGAGGGGCCAGGGGTCGTTGTGCTGGAAGGGAGTGCCCCTGCGGGGCACATGCTCGAAGAACTCTTCCCACAGGTCGGGTCGCCCCGCGTCCCGTCTGGCGATGCGTCGACGCTCGAGCGCATCCTAACTTGGGAGGGGCTGCCCCGCAGCGGGGACAGTGAGCGCGGGCCGATGGGGGCCTTTGTCCCTCTGCAGTCGTAGAGCTGGTCTCCAGTGCAGCGCG